TAATTATATCCTGCAATTCCGCCATATTGGTAGCGACAAAGCGTCGTTTTTTTTTCACTAACCACAAAGGATTTTAGATACATTCGTTCAGAGAAATATGTTCAAAAATCGAGCAAAATTCTTGTTAATTTATTCTTTCAATTTAATCTTTGAAAGGTTAATTATAAAACAAGAACGAAAGTTGAAATGTCGATTAAGTTATAATTTATTTGTTAAGAAATTTATGTTAGACGAAGAAGTGTGTTAGTTGGATGGAGTTGGAGACGGATAGAGAGAGATAGATTTTATCTTTGTTACACTGTCGCGCCGCGGCGTGGCGCTGTCACTCTATCTCTTTTTACAATTAGTATCGAGTAACAAATCGATATTTCTTAATTTTTTTCATATTAATTTTTTCGTAAAGAAATAAAGAGCAATGAAATTCGTCTAAACAATGAAATTATGATACAATTTTTTCCAATAATTTAGGAATTAGATAGGATTTTTTTTTTGGTTGGAATTGTTATTTTCTGTTGAATATATTTATTCCTCTTTTTTTTTAAGAATAAGAACAATATTTGAAATTTTGTTTACAAAAGGGTAGAGAATATTTATACGTACACATATATGTAAGATACAAAAGTTCCTCCATACGAACTCGGAAACAATGTGAAGCTTGAGTGTGAAATATCGTAACGATGTGTTAATACGAGTTAACAATAGTGTGTCGTCGCACCTCGAACCTCGACTCACCTGCTATGAAAACTTGCTTCTTTGAACTCGGTGTAGTCAGTTTTGCCACGAGTTTTATACGTAAAACTTGCACAATTGTTGATACAAAACACTGTACATTTTCAATCAGCATATGTGAATGCAAACTGGTAATTTTTATATAATAGAAAGAAGATTTCTAGAAAGGTAATCCGTAAGTGAAAATTTTTATTTTACCAAAATAAAAATAATTTAAGATTGAATATATATTTTTTTCATTAAAGATAACAAACGTTTTTAAGAAATTTTTTATTTATTATAAAAGATTCGCGATAAATAATAAGAATTAATTTAAAATAAAAGAGGAGAATTGAAAAATGTTGCGGAGTAAGGTAGAATATTTGAAATCTAAATCTTTGAATACCAAGATTATAGGCGATTCTAACGTTATTTATACTATTGCATTATTTTCTCAATGATTACACAGAAACGACAAATGTTTGAAGACAGCTCGTCCACGATTTAAAAACGATTCACATGCTGAGTCGTACCTTTTACCGGCTACGACCACCGTAACTGCAAACAATTTTTCATTCATCCGCAAACAACTGTGCAGAATCGAAGAAACAATCGGCAAACAATAGTTCGACAGTTCCGGAATACGAGTTACGATATTTGTCGTACGTGACTTAGCCTTGGCTACCGCGCTCATAAAACTTGCGGTTCCAAGTGTATCTTTTGAAGGAAACGTGACGATATCCGCGATGAGTATATACGAAATTTTATGAGCTTTCTTCGCCATAAATCTAATTTTAGGTCACGCGTCTATCCAGACACATCGGTAGAAAATCTTGTTTAAAGGAAAACTTTATTTTTTCTTATATCTTTTGAATATCTATATACACATTTGATAACGTACACACGTGTAACTAACGTATTTTGCTCATCATCGCCAAGTTCATCGAGGAAGAAAATTTCATGAATTTCTTCTCATCTTCTCCTCTGAATTTTTTTTCTAGAATAAAAAAAAAAAAAAAAAAGAAGAAGACGAAGCCCATTTGCCCTATTGGAGCAGGGTGTCTAATAGAATTTTGATGAGAAGCAGTAAATATACCGAAACGATGAAGTCATTGGTTAATGACTGTCATAGAAATGACTTTTACGGTCGATGTTCCCTCGTCCAGATTCCCCCCGCTCTTCCCTCCTCCTTCATCCACCGGATTTTCTTAAAGCAACGCTAGAATCTTCACCAATTTCAGGGAATACCATTCTCTGGGAAGTTGTAAAAGCAGTTTAATGTGTATCTTCACGCTCGCGTATATATACACTGTGCATCGTAAACGGCGGTATACTGTAATTTAATGCCCCTCGATCTTGTTCAACGGTGTGGAGAGAGGATCGAGCGGATTGAAATTGGAAAAGTTATATAATCGAACGGTGGAAGTTTCTCTCTCGATCGCCAATATTTCCGTTAAAAGGGTGATTCTTTATTGTTAATGCTTTTCTAATTCTTGCCAGGTATATTTGTTTGGAATTCCATTGAAAAGGTTGGTTTTTACGCGATGAAGAGGGTTAATTAAAGGCTCTAAAATATAATTGTATTGCTGTGTTAAACTGAAATATATGGAGGAAGAATAATAATTCGATTAAGGAATTTTGCTTGTTGCAAAAATTTATGTTATTTTCTTTTGGATGAAGTTGGAAGTTGTATACTTTTTGTATGTTTACACGGAAATTTCTTGGTTCGATTCGTGAAACTTTTACTTTCTACGATTTTTTATTATATTTTATATAATACTTTTTATTTATCTTCCTCTTATTAATTTTTATTACATTTTATTATATGTTAATATTGAAATTAAGTATCGTAAATATCGATTATTAGAAGTTTTGAAAAAGTTGTTTATATTCTTCTATTATTGTATTCAATTTACATCATCTTAAAATAGAAATATACTTGTAAAGTGAATAGAGTGTTAACCTCTTGGCGTTAAATAGCGTAATATCTGATATGTCATTGTTTATTCTAATATAAGAAATGCATGATTATGCTAAAGACGGTATTTGACACTAAAAGGTTAATCGGTTGGCTAAACTATTATATTTTCTTACTTACGATTATTATCTTTACAAAAGCTTTTAAAAAGTTTCTAAATTTACCAACTTAATAATCTGTATAGACAACTTCTGATATATCGTTGAAATATAAAATAAGATAATGCAAAACGAATCTAAATTAATTTATATAATAATTTTAGAACGTTTAAAATTAAAATTCACACATCGAAAAATTAACCCTATATTAAAATTAAATTTTTAACGTTCAAAGGAAAAAAGAATGAATTGAAGAAGAACAAAATAGAAGAAGAAATCTCATCAGATCTTTTTTATATCCTCTTCAAATTGGAAAAATTATCGATAACATCCTTATTGGTATTCAGCCAACGGATTCTCAAACGTTGCTCTCCACTGATAAATTAACACGAGTAACAAATTCGCCTCTGAAGATTCACCGGCATGATGCTCGTCGGTGGCATCAGTGGAATCATCACGATCTCGCATCGCGTGGAACGATCGCGATTCCTATCGTCCAACAAATTCGGCTGTGTGCACGAGTTACAGCCGCCATAAAATTCCGGCCATTTAACGATGGCAAGAATTTATTGGATATTTTTGGTAGCTAATGCGGCCAGTGACCCTTCGGTCATCTCTCCCTTCTCTCTCTCTCTCTTTCCTTAAATTCTTGAGCATTTTCAAAATAAAGTATTATTCACATTATCTTATATTTGATTAGACGAAACAATCAATTTGTTCATTATCGCCTTTCTCTTATTTCATCAACTGCCGCGTAAACAAACACGTTTAATAACACGAAATCTAACCCCGAGAAAGAAGGAGAATATTAATAAATTATATCGAATTATTATTCCCTTATCTTATCTCAAATAAAATTTGTCCAAGCCTTGTTCCCTTCCAACCCTCACGAAACGTTCCCTATCCCAAAACGGTCGCAATACTTCTTACACGCGCGGCGCATACGGCGTCCACTCCACTGATCGAGCATGAAGATAATGGCGCCAGGACGGGTTCATTTATTGGACGTAAATCTCCCGACTTCTCCGCCTAGCGGCGCTCTCGGCGTGTAATCGTCCTCCCGTACGGTTATACGCCTTAAAGCGTATTTCATCGAAATTCCTGGTGTCGAAAGACACCGTTTACACGCAAAGACGTTAAAGAAGCTTTACGACGCGGCTCTGGCTACCGCCTCGTTACGAAACCGGTGTTATGGGCGAAGGAAAGAGGAAGAAGAAAAAGAGGAGAAGGAGGAGGAAGAAGAAGAAATCGATCGAGAGGGAAACGTATGGTACGAGATTGAATTTATCGTGGAAACGTCGAAATACGAGCCACGAGTTGACGCGAAGGCAAATGCCGAGTTTTGAAGGCGTTGGAAGGAAGGGGCTTTGGTGTATTGGTAAGCGGATCGTCGATCGTCACGTTGAGAAGACGATATTTTATGGATTATCTGATCGGAACGGGGGCTCGACTCCAACGTGGATGCTGGATGGATGTCGGAGCGAAGGTGTATCGGGTATTGGCTGCTTCAAGTTGGTCGGTTTCCAGGGATTTAAGATGGATAGGGTGAGAAAGATTAGGTATTGGGTTTGGGATTGTACGTGGCTCGGGTTGTTTAAGGTGGATTTGTTCCTGTTTTATATTTTATTGGTGTGAGAATAGAGGGATTTGAAGGGAGTTAATAGAAGGATTAGATTGTGGACATGCAGTTTGAAATAATAATAATAAGGTGAATTAAATGGGATGAAACGATATATACGTGTTTCAATTTATACGTGCTTCTTGCGAAGCTCTTTATATTGTTGTAATTGATATACATTTTATTTTGAGATATAAATTAATTACTCCTAGCACTGTGCGTGAGATTATACACACGTATATTTTCTTTTTAAAACGTAGAAGAATTGTTGAAAGTGTTGATTATTCCCTACAATAATAGAAAGAAGTAGAAAATTTCCAATTTATTAATGAACTTATCTTTTATCATTAGAAATATAATAATAATAATAAATAGCAAATAAGATAGGAGAAATGATATAATGATACATAAGTAATACAGATAATGGCAGAAACTTGTTACTTTATCAACTCTATGTGCGTCAATCTGGTTAGATCTAAGTAATATTCCAATCAGTCTATTTTGATGTATTTATCACGTTTGTCACAGTGTTTGTCGATCGACACACTCTCGATCGATACTCGAACACGAAGAAATTTCTTCCTTTTTTCTTTTCCAGGTGAGGTATCAGGTGAGAACGTGTCCGCGGGTACTGGACCACGTAGTGGCGATCGTGGAGAGGGGACTGATTTAGGTACACACACGGAAAATAACGACGGGGCCACCCTGGCCGCGAACACAGCGGTCGACGCGAGGGGCGGAAGCCCCCAGGGTGCCCACCTTTCCGGTGCGGCCACTCCCAGACCGCTAAGGGGTAGGAGACGACAAAACCAGAATGGTCTCGACACCACTCAAGTAAGTTCACAACGACAATTTTAATTAATTTTTATCCTTCTTATTCCTTTTTCTCTAACCTGCAATTATTGTACTCGAAGAAGAACCTTCTTCAATTTTTACATCCTTAGAAGTGTAAAAGATTCGTTGGTCAACATGTGATTTCGAAAGAAAGTTTCAATCAACTTCGAAATTTACATAGAAATTCTGAGACCCTTCTTGTATCCAACAATATCCAATTTTAACTTATAGAAAATTATTCGTAAATTAATTTGGCAACTAACGATCATAAATCGAAACCAATAACACTCTTCTTTGCACAAAAGTTATCTAAAAATCGCTTTTCGAAAGAAAAGCAATGAAAAGAAAAGAAGAAAAAAAGAATCTCGCGTTGTTTGCCTTCCAACAAATATCCAAAAGACTCGTGTCTCGAGTGTTTGATCGGGAACGGGCATAAGGAGGCTTCTCGAGATAAAGTTTACCAGTGGAAGCGGTAGCGTGTGCGCGAGCGGTCCCGTTCGAGGCAGGCCTCCTCTCTGTGACAGCGATGTCAAACGAAAGTCGCAGTGTCATCCCGTCGTTGACACACGCGCGCGGCTGTTCGACGCTTCTGTAAATGCGGTGCAAAGGGTGACTGACTGAGGGAAAGAAAAAAAAAAAAAGAAAGAAAAGAAAAGAAGAAGCGAGGAAGGCGAATGGCCAGGAGATATGGACGATCATCGTTCAGGAAAAGAATGGGCGTTCAATGACACGTGAAAATTCTTCTACTGCTGCTGAACGGTTAAACGAATGAAGATCCTCGCGTGGAAGAAACAACGGTCGACGATGGATCGACGTGGAATCTTGATACGATTGAATACGATTGGCTTGTTCGTTCCTTGTAATCGATGCATTAACAAGCGTTGTATCTTTTTTTAGTTTGCCTCTGGTTTTGATTCAAAAATATTTTTCTTTCTTTTTTTGAAAGTTAGAGAGTGATAGAAAATTGGGAATGTGATAAGTGCTATTAATTTTGATATGAAACTTGGTTACTTTAGTGAGGGAGTGAAATGAAGAAAAAGTTTAAAAGTCGAAAGGAGAGATTGGTTTGATCGATGGATTTTTGAAAAGATAAGAGTTATGATCATTATGTATTATTCAGCACATTGTACAATTAGTGTAAATTCCTTTTTCATAATTTAAAAATAAATAATTCCATCAGAAGATTATTATTTTAAAGCTAGACAATTTACACATTTATATCATTTTTTCTTTCAATTATCGATCGCCATGAGCTTCAATTTCTCCGTAAACGTATCTGCCAATCAATCTTCCCTCGAATCCTTCCACTCTCGAAACCAAAAAAAAAAAAAACCAAAAAAAGAAATAAGAATATCGAAGATCCTCGATTTCTTCGATCCTCGATCCACCTCTCGTTTTCTCCAAAAACCATTCCCAACTCCTGTCAACAAATCGTCCGAACTCTGGCCTAAATTCCTAAAAATCCCTCTATCGAAACTCTACATTTCTCTCTGTTTTATCGAGGGTGAAACCGTCCGCTCCCTCGGCCGCGCGTTTCTTTCGCAAGGACGAGGTGGACGAAACGTGGACGAACGCCACGGAGAGAAGCGTGGCTTGTACACGTTGGGATCGTGTCTACGTTGCGAGAGGCCGTTGTCAGGAAGAGGTCTCGAGGCGAGAAAGAGATTTACCGTGGCGGTACGGCCTCCTCGGGGACTCTATTCTACGCCAATCGAGTCTCGTTCTTCTTGGTGTCACGTCGCCTTCTCAACGAAGGCGAAGAGGAGTCAACTGTCCCCGCCACGCGTTCCCTTCATTACCATATCTCGGATGCAATCTGTTCCACGGGAATTAACGCGCACCGATATTTCCTGCCGCCCCTCCCCTGGCCGGGGATACTGGTCGAGGATGACGTTTTCAATGACGAGGAACGCCGCGAATTCCTTAGTTGGTTTTTTTTTATATAGTGGCATTTTCTTGGAATCTTTTTCTTTCTTTCTTTCTTTTTTCTTTCTGTATGTGTGTATATATGAGAATTTTCAATTTGAAACGGAAGTGTGAAATTAAAGTTGTATCGAAGGTAATAGGTAGATTTTTAAAATTTGTCCAATTTGTTCTTGGAATTATATTTTTCGTTTGAAATAGATCGTTATGAAAGTATAAGTATATTTGGCAATGTTGCGATTTTTGGAATAATTTTGTAATTTGTGAATCATACATGTGAATATTTTTCATCATTGTGAATATTTTTTTCAGATATGAAAATTTTTATTCGATGAAATGGTAGAAGAGTGAATGATATATATATTTATAATAGGATTTCTTATCTTATTTTCGGGATTGTGTTAATATATTCTGCGTGTCACATGGAATTTTTTGGAATATTATTCTTATATAAAAATTTGTACGTGCAAAGTATATGCGAAAGTGTGAAAATATTGGTGACATGATTGATGTGTTCGATATGGGATAGTGAAGGCAGCATAGAATTTTTTTTAATTTTTTGTAGTAGGCTGTTTTTTAGCTGGTGTTTTTTGCGAGGTAGCTATTTAGGCGATCGAGTGATTAATTATATTTTAATTGGGTATTTCAACAATGCGTTACGTTTGAAACGTGATTCATTCCTTATGCTTATAGTTATCTCTGGAAATACACGTGTTATATTTAATAATATGTTGTTATATACGTATTATGTATATGATGCTAAAGTTAATTTTACATGAAAGATTTCTTTAGAGATAATTGATCATAAAAAAGAACGTGTAATTTAAAGAAGAACATAAGTATAAATATTAAACAATCTATTACAGGTATCATTTAAATTTACAGAACTAGAATTTAAATTTTACATACGTTATTATTTTTGTATAATGAATTATCATTCGTTATTGAATGATTCTTTATAATACAATTTTTAAATATTCGATAAAAATTAACTCATGATTGATTTCTCACTTCAAAATTTTCAAGGGAAGGGCATGATGTTTGTGTTATAGGTTAAAACAGAACGGCTCACGCCAGACAATAATTCAACGTCGTCGAGGAGCGTGACGCCCTCATCGTCCAGCCATCCAGGAACGCCACCAAATGCTACCCCTTTGGGTGGACCCGAGGGCCCACCACCACCCCATCACCTCAAACACATGGAGCAGATGATGGGTCGGAATTATAGCGATTTCATGAGAAGCCTCGCTGCCAAGTACAATAACGCCAATCCTAATGAGTGAGTACACTTCTCTCTCTTTCTCTCTCTCTCTCTTAGGAAACCTCCATTCCTAACCATTAGCAGATTGATTCAAATATGATAATTTAAGTTTGCACGATCCCTTTCTACGTGTTGGACACATCGATTTGCTAAAATAATCATCCATGGAAAAACTAATCGTTAACCAAGAACTTAAGACTTGAAATATTTTTTAAAAATTTCAATATAACGAAACAAACCGTGTTGATTCACTTTCGAGAAATAAGATAATTTAATAAAATAGATTAAATATCGAAATTCTATGCGTATATTACGTATTATAGTTTTATTGGTTGTTACAAAAAGATGGCCACGCTCATCAGAAAGAGGTTAGAAACATCTCGATCGGTAAAGAGGCTCGTAGATTCCTTTCCACAATTATTCTCAACGCAAAATCTCTACGATACATTCTCTCAAATCCAATCAAATCGATATCAAGCACATCCACAACAAACGTTGTATTATTTAAAGAGCATAAGACCTTGAGAGAGTCATCACGCTCGCCTTGACATTCTTCGTACTTTCCTCCATGTGCATACGTAGGAATCGCATAGAAACGCGTAAGAAGCAATCCTTGACGAGAATGTCGTGTATAAAAGAAGAATATCGATCGCCTCGTCTTGAAATATCGCTGCTCATCTATCATTGGACCGAGTGTTCTTGATAGAATGTTGTCGTTTGAAACTGGTTGCAGCTTCTTCGCGTTGCTTTCCAACTTCCGGCTGAAAGATCGGCCGAGACGCGGAGAATAACGCATCTGTGGCGTTTCGAGGAGAAAGTAACTTGTTCCGATTCGATGAATAAATATGGATCCTGGAATCCTTCCACGTATGATGTGACGAGAAATGATATTGAATCGTGTCTTTGTTGAAGTAATAATGAGAGAGAAACTTTCTATCGTGTTCCTTCAAGAGTTCTTTCATGTTTCTGTTAGTAGTGGAAGGTTGATGCTTGTTTATGACAGAGGAATATTAAAGAAATGTAGGAAATAAGCGTCAACATATTGTAATGGGAATAAATGTCTCTTTGATGCGTAAGTATACTTGATAGGATTGAACGTGGCCTTAAAATGGAAACGTTCTTCTGATTATAGATTTCTCTGGTTTCGTATGGAAGAATTTGATATTTGTTCGATATTTTTTGAATCCAATATAATGACAATAGATTTTTTTGTATTGCGTATAAGGTATCTTAGAATAATTTTATTGGTATGTTAATATTAAAATATTCGAGTTTATATGAGGTAAAAAAGAATATTTTATAGATTTGTTATGTTCTTGCATTTTCTTCTTAAATCTTTTTTATGTGAATATTTTAAAGATGTAATTTATAATAAATAATATTCCATGCTAAGAAATTGTTGAACGAGTACGTTGAATTTAATTTTCGAGATTTGAGTTGACTATTATTAGAATGTAAAATCGTTGAAAGATCGTTTGAAGCAATTTATGAGACAGAGGTGTGATATTTCATTTTGGTCGATAGTATTGGATTACAATTGAACGAATGTTATTTTTTTGAAATAATTTTTAAAAATTTTCTTAGGAATTTTAAATAACCAACTATTATGATTTTGAACTTTAGATAAATATGTTTAATAATTTTTATGTTTTAAATTGAAATGATATAAAACTTGACGATAAGAATTATGAAATCACTCGATTCTAGGAAATTATATTTAACTACGTGTACATAATGCCAATTCCGCAGTAAATTATTACACAGTGAATTTTAAATCTTGCATACTTAATTTGTTAAATATTGTCAACTACAAATTACGTTTCATTCAGAAACGACTTTAATAATTAGATAATTAAATACAAATCTTCAATAAACAATATTAACTTTATTGACATAACTTATCACTCTTCAAATCTCATAATAATCTCGTAATAGATAGTCACATATAATTATTTCATTAAAATTCAAGACACCTGTTTATTCAAATTGAAACAACGTCAGAGATTTATAACGATCATAATCCGTTTAAATTCTTAATAAATTTTCTGTATTTTCAAAAAAAAAAAAAAATAAATCCAAAAAAAAAAAAAAATAAATTTTCACAATCTCTTCTACAACTTTTTTTTGAATATTTTCTTCAAAAATTAACCAAAGCTTTTTTGATTCACAGCTACTTCAGTTCGCCCAGAAACGGCTATCCTCCAGGCCTAGATCCAAGGTTTCCGGCGTTCAAAACTGCCGCCACACCCTTCGTCGGTTTGATGGCGCCGTTGGGTGCGCCACAACCGTCAACCGTGTCCACCACCTCCCCTCTATCCAATAAAGATCCGAAAGAGCAGAAGCAGGAGAGTCTGTTCGGTAATCCCGTGTTCCCACCGATGCTGGACATGTCGTCGACGCAAGCACTTTTGCACATGGTGAGGACCGCGAATGCTGCACAAAATGCTGCAGAACTGGAAACGTATCTCAAAGGTAATTGTAAAATATGATTTTATTTATTGTTGAATTTTTATTTTATTTGAGATTTATTTTTTTCGTTGATTTAAAATGATGATAGAGATTTGTGAGATATTCGGAAATCGAATTGCAACTCATTGAGAACAAATTTTATTTTGTTTTTGAAAAGTTAAATAGTGATAAATATTTTATGGTAAGTAAGTCTTGGAAATGTATAAAAAATAGAATTGATCGATGTATATAGTATTCTAATTTAATTCTTTAGCTACGATATTTAAAGATAAATTGTAACTTATTATTAGAGGAGAGATATGAATATTTTAATAATTAATTATACAATATAGTTTAAAAAACAAATATTTTTAATAATTATTTTTAAATAAAAATAGTTTTATTTCTATGGAAAAATAATATTCTTGAATATCTTTTTCTTTATGATAATTGGAATTCCATAGAAGAATAGGGAGAATATATAAAAATTTTTGATCGATGTCATTTGAATTTTAAACATTAATGGAAAAACAATTAAAAAGTTATCAAACTCATATTTTAATACGTATTTATACATTTATTAAAATTATATTCCGAATTATAAAATATTCGTATTTAATTATGCAAATTTAGACAGATTAATATTCATAAAATAGATAATATTTATTCAAATTTTGAGAGATTGAATATTATTAAGAAATAATATTCCGCTAATATTATTTATTACGTATTATACACAGCCGTTCTAAACTTAGTTTTTGTTTTTTCCAAATGATAAGTTCGGTTACCGGCAATTCTCGGAAAATATTGTCAATCTTTCCAATGTTTTGATTTTGCGTCGTACGTATAAAGCCTCGAGCTCGTTTAATAACATTCGAGCGTTTAGTTTGTCGTCGACCTCCTTAAGCGTAACATCTCGTTACGAATATTCCGCATTTTCTCGCAAATTAATTATAAGTATATTTTTTTAATTTAAGCATTTTTAATACAAATTTAATATCGTTTTATTAATCTCCGACATAAAACTCATAAATAGAAATAAATTTAATTAATTAATTTTCATTTGTTATAATTTAGTATTATAAAACTAAATTATGGATATTTTTTTCGTACAAAATAAGAACTTTTTTTTACATTTAATCGTGAAAATTCACAAATAAAAATCAGAGAATTATAAATCAGTTAAAAACGTGCCTAAATTTCTTTAATTTTCTAAATTTTGATTTAATATTTTCACTGCGGATTTAAAAAATTTAATGATAAATTTCATTCGATTTATCTATCTATCCCGTATAAATATATCTGATTCAACTTATTCATCTTGAATACAATGAACGAATGAAATTCATTCACATACATAACGCGTTCGACAAAATGTTTAAAACATTCGAAAAATTTGAATTATATACATTCGAAAAATTTGAATTGTCCGTACACAGGTGCGAACAAAAGAGACACGGGAGTGACGAGTCCTCTGGATCTGTCGAGTCCAGGTGGATTCGCACCGCGGAAAAGGCAGAGGGCGGAAACGAGGAGATCGGGAAGCGTGTCTCCGAAACCGAAGCCAACCCCTCGACCCACCACACCACCTCCAGTCAGATGTCCATCCCTGTGTGGTCACATGCCGTGTGGCGATGGGCAAGCTGTCAATCGATGGACCATCGAGGACGTCGTCAATTACGTGTCGTCGATCGATATTTGCGCAGAGTATGCACAGGTGAGTGGCTCGAATGCGTCGATTTTCTTCCATTCGTTGATTCGAATTTTTCCATTTTACGTGTTGCTATAAGTTGGGCGTAAATTTCGCAAATGGCAATTGCAACATCGTGGCAAATAAACTCGATAATGTTTGCCAGGTTTCATAAGAAACGCCACAGGCGCTAGGAAACTTTGTACCGCGATGACGAGAGGTTAACCAATCTGGGTCTAGGGTTTTTTAATAAAATATTGGTTGGTTCAGGTTATCACTTTTTTCCTTTCCAAATTCCAAGTTTCTCGATAGGATTTATTAACATTACGCTCGGAAGGAAAATTAAGGTTAAAATTTTCTTCGCTTCGAGTAGTTAAAAAATAAACTGCTCGGTCAAGAGGTTATCTACGATTATCTACGATACATCTAATTTAATTTTTATTGTACATAATATCATAAAAAGAAAAAAATCAGAATTTGTACTATTCTATCAAATCTCGCGGAATTACGCTACGTTTCAAAACCCTCGCCTCCCATTACGACTTCCTCAATCCTAACCTCACTCACCGTGATCATAATTAAAAGCCAGGTTCACCAAAGGCTACGCTTTTAATTGCTTCCCTGTCGCTCCGATTTCACCGAGAAATTTCTCTTCTTACCCACGACTATCCATGAATATATCAAGGAAACTCGAACTAAAACCCATCAAACGTTTCACGACAGAGAGAGAGAGAGAGAGAGAGAGAGAGAGAGAGAAACAAACATAGAAAAAACGCGTGGGTTGTTGAAATCACGCGATCTCTCGAAACCTCGGCAAATGACCGACGACGAATGAACAACTCGACAGCGAGCAATTCGCTGTTACGAGATGGAATAAGTTTCGAACGTGCCAGTTTTAATTGCTTTTGAAAGTCGTTGGCGTAATGAGGCGTATCGAGATCCGTCGCGCAATATCGTTGGAAGGATAGGCCTCCTCTCTCGACTTCCACGTCGTCACGTCGATGAGGCAACCGGAGAAGGTCTAGGAAGCTCTGAATGACCTGACATCAGTCAATCCGGACAGTCTGCTGGCAAGAAGACCGTGCTCTACGGTTAAGAGAGCTCTGTAATGACCCCTCGAAGCTAGAATCGACCCAGCACCCCTCTCTGATCCTCGTGTCCGCACTTTCTCCCCCTTTTTCTCGCATCACAACTCTCTCTCTCTCTCTCTCTCTCTCTCTCTCTCTCTCTCTCTTTCTTTCTCTCTTCTATCCTTAGGCTAGCATTCCACATAGAAACGTGAAGTTATTCGTAATCGTTCGGTTGGTTCGCTTGTTTTTATTGTCTTTTCACGTGGCGCATTCGATGGAATGGGAAATAGTTGTCTCTTCACGAAAGGTAGTTCGACACTTTGTTTACGAGTGTTGTTGTTGGCGAGTTTGTGGCGGATGCCGTGTGGTGAAAATAAGCGTCGTTAAAGGATGGCGAGTGGAATGGAATGAAGTGAAAGGGGGAAGATGGAGAAGGACGTGGATTCGAGGCATTTTAGGAATCGAATTTTCTTCTTTCGAATAAAATTTTTCCTCGAAAGGAAAAAAACTAAAATTTGAGGTTAGTTCCGTCGAATTAAATTTTAGTCAAACGTAGAAACATTGTCTTAAAAAATTTGAAAATAAATACAGCGAATAAATTTAGAATTTTGCTTTACCAAGATATATATTGTCTATTATTTAAACCAGATGCTTAAATTTCGTCTTTTTCATTAAATATTCGATCGTTCGTTAAATATTCATCCGCTATCATTAATTATTCTACTATCATTGCATCAAAGATACACGATATTGTCTTTACCACTTGATTTGACTTTTATCCGATCATTTTTCTTCGAAGTTATTAGCAGCTCGATTGCTTAATAACGCTGATAACAAATGGAACGACTGAATTAACATTGGAAATTAATACAGGAATTACCACGCTGTAATTTATACGCTCGTTTATTACGCGAAATACTTCTTCGTTGCATAATCATTTCTAGAATGATCCGACTCCATATGCCTCGAACGAAGCATATACATTATGCACACATTAAGAAATTAAAATTCTATATGCCACAATACTCTTCGTTCCATCGACCAGCACTTCCTCTCCTCGCATAATCATCTTTGTCCTCCTCTCTCTTCGCTCTTTTTCATCCGCGTTCCTGAATCCCCAAAGAGGATTCTTACAACTTTTCATCCGTCTTCTAGTAATCCTTCACGATGTCACGCAACCGGTTCAAATGACGTTTTTGTGAACCGTGTCTGATTTTAATCGCTTATAAGTGCGATACCCATTCACTCGGCCGGGTACCCTGCTCGATCATCGTCAAAGGAAACGATGGATTGTTTTATAATTAGAGCTTAAACCCGACGTTGTAATTATGGATCTGATAGCGGGTACGGGCAAATTGATTAATCCCGGGACAATTAAGCGTTACCGGCTCGTTAGCATCGGCTTTCGTATTCTTACACGAGGATCACGATATCACGAATTCGTTTCCTCCACTTTATCCAACCGAGCTTTCTCTGGAACGAAGTTATTAACCTGTCATTGCCCACTCTTGGAATTGTCAAACGTCAGAGTTTCTGCATAGATCTGACTGCGTTCTTGGTTACGATAATTAATCGCGGAAGACGATTATTTCTTTTATTTCTCGATCTTTACGTATTACTACGTATTAATTTTAATGATATTTTGTATAAATATTCGAATATTCGGATTATAAGGATAATATTTTAATATAATATTTTTTTGGAAGTTTGGAATCTTGTTTAAAAAAAAAAAAGGTGCACTCTTGTTGCTAACCTCAAAACTCTAACTCGACAGATTTCTATTTCGATAAAAGTATCAACAGTAATGTTTTGTATAAATATTCGAATATTTATTGTAATATTTTGATATAACTTTAACCTTTTTTTTGGAAGCTTAGAGAATTTAAAAATTATTAGAGTCTTATTTAAAAAAAAAAAAAAAAAAAAGAGATGCACTCTTCTTCCTAACCTCAAAATTCAACTCGACAGACTGATTTCTATCTCGATAGATTATTCTATTCGCATCTATTTTCAATAAAAATACGATTGTATTTCTTCATCTCGTTCGAAAAACGACAAAGAATACGTTCGAAGAATCTTATATATATATATCTTCATCGTTTGTTTATCCACCGTGGTGTGGCGCCTCGTTCGATAACACGCTCGATTCCAGCAAGTAGTATCGCAAGAAACCACTCGACAACATCTCCATGACGTTCTGAAAACACGGTCGAACGATTCGGCCGATTTCGAGGCGTAACGTGGTTCCTCGAGGACTGTCAGTCCCGATTATATCCACGGGTATCGTTAGGCCTCGTTTGCGGTCCTCGAAACGTCAGACTGTCAGGGCCGTAAATTTTTGCGCGGGCACCCACCTAGTCATGCATATTCATGAACGCTCGAACGAAAAAGGGAGAGAGACCTCGGCTATATTTCGATCATGCCATCCTCCCGATTCGAGAATGACGAGGGGCCAAATACGAATGGTGGTATACGCTCGTTGTTGCATCAAGGATCTCCTTTTTCATTCTTCGAAGCGAGTAGTGAATGAATCAAGAATTCTCGAGGGTTTTCGGAGGCAATGTTTTTTTTTTCCCCTGTACGAATGTTGATCGATATTTTTAAAGATTTTCGAATGATTGTGGCGTTCTGGAGGCTAGAATAATGAACATAGGATTGTAGAATTTTATTCTTTCTTGTTTCTTGTTTTCTTCTTTACAATTAAATTTTTGTTTAATAAAATAATGATTTGTAATAGTATCATTCCTCTCGTTCGAATCGTACGAATTTATAATTTAGAGGTTAGAAGGAAAAAGAGAATAACAAGAATAAATTTAACTATACGATTAAATATTTGATAAAAAAAAAATATATATTCTTTCCTCTCAACGTTATTCAAGAGAAATCAAGCATCGATTTCCTGCAAACTTATCCAAGATAACTATAACCTAACCTAACCAAACAAATCGACCAACGTCAACGAATTCTTTACCCAACTACATCGGCGAACCTCGGACGCAATTTTCCCACAAAATTTCGACCGATACACACAATTACGTAAATCATGGCGAATATCCATATCCCGAACACTCGAATATCCGCGAATATACGCGCGTCGAGCACAAAACCAGGCGCAATAATCACCGCGGCGTATATCGAGCGGCGAGCAATTTATCACACCATAAATCCGGGATTGAAAAAATCACCCATGATGGATCGCGTTGCGCGCTATATACGCTTTCGTTAACAGGCATCGAAAACGTTGGCAAAAGTTCAGGTGGTGATCGACGACGGAGGCGGGCCCGGCCTCTCGTGACGAATAGTAGATAGCGGAGGCACGAACCCGCTACGATTTACAAGATTCCCCCAGTTCGTAAATAGCTGGAGCCGCGTCGCGGGCATCTCTCGAGATTATCTTATAAAGGATACCGCGGTGCTCTGATCAACGAGTGAGAGTATAGATCGTTCGGTAGAGATCTTCTCCTCCCTCCCTCCCCCCTCCCCTCTCCTCTTTCCCGATCCCTCGATGGAATTATAGCGTCGATCCTTATCGCCGATCTGGAATAGTGGCGCGACCACGTATATGTATATATATATATATATATATTTATTTATATACGCTCACTTTCGTTTCGAAGCAGAACCAGAGGAACGGATCTCATCGCGAGAAATCGAATCGTCCCCGGTGGATATGTAAATAATTGCCGCGAGGGCTGCGTGCCTAATTATCGCGGCGTGTTTGGTACGCTCGCGATTTATGATATTGGTACACGGTCAGGGGGGACGAGTTTTAATCGCCTGTTAATGATATTTGTATACGGGGGATGAGAAAGAAAGAATTTTTATACGCGGATAAACTCTACGGAACTCTTTCGAATTATTCGTTGAATAATTGGTTAAAATTTCGAATAATTATTTATTCGTGGGTAAACTATTGCGCGCGATTGGTTTGGATAGTTTAAATAGCTTGTTCTTAAA